ATTAAAATATTTATGCTGATGCTGCTGTATGAGGTGATCTGTGTCGTGCAGATATGATGGCTCGCTAACAACCAATAGGTTGATAAAATGGTATATTTTTACACTTCTCTTTCAAACAGAATTAAATACACTCTATCTTTATATTTAATCTTTCCTATCYTTTCTGTGCACTGGTCTTGGCAGCACTGCAATACCAGATCAATGAGTGGAGCAAAGAGAGCAAGCTCCTCTTTTAAATGWGTCTCCTTTAATAAGTGAAAATATCAGATAGTATATTGATGAGAACAGATGCTACACTTGAGCTTTATGGGGTGCCAAGTGTATAAAGAAGTGTAAAAAAAATTCACTAACATATTTTTCAATAATTAGTTCACTTTTTGAGGGTTAAAAATTTCCCACTATCATTTTATTGTCATGTAGCTCACTGTTCCTGCATTTAGGTAATTTTTTAGTAAATGTTCAATTTAAATGGTAAAAAAATACATTTAAATATTAAATCCTAAATCTAAATGTTTAAATCTAAATGTAAAAGTTAAACCTTAAATGTTGAAGTTCACATTTAGGTATTGTGGAATGGAATGCAGCCTTTGCTGAAGGCTAGAGGTGCTCCATCRCAACACATCAAACTTTCAGCGTTCGAGCTGCACTTCAAACTGTTGGACCACAGGTATACCATCCATGTTGGTTTTTATTAACACACAATTTGAATTTATAGTAAAAAATGATCTTCAGCAGAGGTAGCAGTGGCTAGCAGTCTTGTAGGAAAGCTTTAGCTGCATTGAAGCACTRGCGGTTGCTCTTGTCTCAGGGTGATGACATCATGAAATGAGCTGAGCACCATCAGCAAAGGCTGTGTTCCATTCCAAAACACCTAAATGTGAACTTCAACATTTAGGGTTTAACTTTTACATTCATGTTTAAACATTGAGATTTACAATTTAATATTTCAATATATTTTTAACATTTAAATTTAACATTTAGTAAGACTAGTAAAAAGAAGGGAAAAAAATATAAAAACAGTGAGATAAATAATGAAAAAATATGTTAGTGAATGTTTAAAAATATTTTATTTTACACTGGGCATAAATGAACAGGAAGAACATTTTTGAAAAGCTGCAAAACACTTTAGCACAATATTCCCAACTGAGCTGAACACTCTGATAAACAGACACAATTATATGTATACGTGTGTAAAGATTGTTTGAATAAAAAAAATGTAAGGAAGAAACCTTAAACAAAACGAAAATAATAATTGTGTGAGTAAATCTGAGATAAAACAATGTTGTTGTTTTTTTTTTTTTTTTCAAAAAAGACCTCCTTTTTTTGGTATATATATAAAAAAAGAACAAATAAGATGTTTTGTTTCCGTCTCAGAGGCCATATTTGGTTTTGTTTCCTGCTGCCAGCAGGGGGCGCTTTTTGTCCAAACAGCAGCATCGTTGCCTGAGTCACACGCAGCCCGGCAGGTTGTTTACTTCCTGCAGCTGCTGCTGCGGTGGAGGATCCTGGGACGTGTGTGTGAAGAGGGAGGGAGGAGCAGTGAACTCTCTGTCCTTTCACATGACAAACACTGCAGAAGCTGCAGGTCTGTGCACAGTAGGAGCTCCATAAGGAGGAAGAACAAGCAGCGTCCATGGTTGTGGTGGGGGTGGGGGGAGCAGAAGAGGAGAGRGTGCGGGGCTTCAAGCTGAGATGGGGGGAGGGGGGAGGAGGTTACATAAGCCCTGCTGGATGTTCTGCAGCACTGCAACAACAGGGCGACCCACAGGGTAGTAAACAAGTGATGTCACTGCTTCCGTGGCACGCATCAGCTGAAAGAGGAAGAGAGGTAGTGTTTACAGGGAACTGATCCAGAACTGAACTGATCCAGAACTGAACTGATCCAGGACTGAGCTGATCCAGAACTGAGCTGATCCAGGACTGAGCTGATCCAGGACTGAGCTGATCCAGAACTGAACTGATCCAGAACTGAGCTGATCCAGGACTGAGCTGAGTCAGAACTGAACTGATCCAGAACTGAGCTGATCCAGAACTGAGCTGATCCAGGACTGAGCTGATCCAGGACTGAGCTGATCCAGAACTGAACTGATCCAGAACTGAGCTGATCCAGGACTGAGCTGAGTCAGAACTGAACTGATCCAGAACTGAGCTGATCCAGAACTGAGCTGATCCAGGACTGAGCTGATCCAGGACTGAGGCAGTGGATTCYACCTAGCCGAAGTCCCCTGCATTCACACGGCTGACAATCAGCCGAAGCCAAGCTGTTGGTGCAGAAACGACCTGCTGGTTGATGACACATACAACAAGTTGCTCCAGAAGCTTCCATTGATGGTTTTATTCTGGAAGTTTTACTGACAGGCGGCACAATGACTCAGTGGTTAGCACCTATGCCTCACGGCAAGAAGGTCCTGGGTTCGATCCCCGATTCGGACCTGGGGTCTTTCTGTGTAGAGTTTGCATGTTCTCTTCGTGCTTGTGTGGGTTTTCTCCAGTTTCACCTGTATAATAGGTTGCCTTCAGGCCCAGGCCGCCCTCGAAAATCTGACATCTCAATGGGACTTGCCTGGTTAAATAAATATAATGAATTATTTTAGACAGAGAGACAAATTAAACCAGCAGCCAAGCTGATACCTGGGGGAAATCTATACGATTGATCATTACAGATTTATTTACAGGTCTGTCAAAACTCAACCTCAAACACTTGATTTTATTACACATTTAAACTACTGAAACAAGAAACAAAAACAGCTGGAAGTTTGTTACCAAGCTTAGCATCAAGCTCCTGTCCGAAGGTCTGTCTGTCTGTCTACCTATACCTACCCATAAACTTGTTGAAAATACTAAAACTGAATTGTTAACAAAAAAACAAAACAAAAAAGCTAAAGCTAGCAAGATATTAGCAATACTAGCAAAACTAAAACTAGCAAATAGATAGTTAAATCCTCAACTATCAAAACAATAGCTAAAAGCTAAAACTGGACAAACCGTAACTAGAAACTAAGGCAAGCAAAACAGAAGTTAAATTTTAAATAAAGAAAAGCAGTAGCTAAAACTATCAAAAGCTGAAAGGTAAAACCAGCAAAAAAGGAGCCAAACAGCTAAATGCTCAAAGCTAAAATAAAAAAATAAAAAAACTCAAAGCTAAAGCTAGCAACCATTTAAATGCTAAGACCAACAATCATTAGCTAAAAGTTAAACTTTGCAAACCAGAAGCTGATAGTAACAAACAGCTAAAACAAGCAAAACCAGAGCTTAAAATGAAGACGGATGTAACAACCGTTTAAAAACGAAGACAAATGCTAACAAACTGGAAATTTTCCTGCTCACAGCTCCACCTAGAAAAGAGTGAAGGAATAAAAGAAAAAAAATGAATGTTTTTATTTTATTTTCAGTGTTTGTTTACTCAGACATGACCAAAAAAAATCAGTTTTTACCAGCTGAACATTTAGTTTTTCATCAGAAGAGTCAATCGTTGGTCAGAATGTCTCACTTTATTTATTTATTTATTTATTTATTTATTTATTTATTTATTTATTTATTTATTTATTTATATTTTTAACATGCAACCATTTTCAGGACTACAATTACAGCATTTTGTGCCAGTAGATTTTTATATAGAAATGAGAAAAGGCCTTCCATTGTGTTAATTTGAAATTGTTTTGTTTCTGTGAAGTGTTTTCTCACCTGGTCCAGGCCTGTCGCTCAAAGGATGTTGTGTACTTTTTTGCAACAGCTGAAGCTTAATCGATACACGTCAAAAGGGAGTCCGCCTTCAGGACACTTTGTACCCAGCACCAACAGCTTCTAATGTGCGTTTCCCAGCAGATGAAACAGACTAAAGGAGGGGCGGGGTGKGGGGAGCTGCATTTGATGTGCCGCCGCCTGAGGCACGACTGAACCGCTACGTTCTGCTTTCAGAAAAGACTGAGACCAGGAGATCCTGTTCGCCTGAATCACAGATCAAAACAAAACTGTGCAGAGGTTGCTTGGTTGTTTTTCAGGACGGCGTTCAGGAAATCACTGTTTAAGATGCAGAACAGCTCCTAGACTCCACATCTCTCTGCCGATTGGAAATGACATWATTTTATATAAAATCTCAGATGAGAGCGTCTGTGGCCAAACACCTCAACGACCATCTGGTCTGGCAGAAGAACAGTCCAACTGGTTTGACCGTGGGGTCTCGTCAACGAGTGCCTACTGACCAGGCTCAGTGTGTTGTCTTCATGTGGGCCCACCACCTGTAAGACGGGCCACACAAAGCCAGGTACATGGTGCCATGGTCTGCAATGAACCCTGGCTTACCAAAGCTGGTACTGCTGGCATGGAAAGGTTTTTTTTTTCAACTGAATGTGGGTCAGGTCTAGYAATATGTCAAGTTGTACGGATCGTGGGTAATTTACACAAATTTTCCATCAGTGTGCAGGTATACGGACATATAGAGCAATCTCACAAATTTTTTCAGGTTTTTTTTTTTTTCAAAAACTCACTTTAAAATCTATTTAACATATCAGAGCCTGTAGGATGTTTAAAAAAACAATAACATTAAATATCCACAACCCACTCTGCTGCTAGAAATAAGTTCTTCTGTCCTCATTTCCTCCAGATTTTGCTGCAGCCGACAGTCCGTCTGATTAATACAGTMAATGTCACGACTAGCCTGGATGTGATTTGGTTTATCTGGTGCTGACCCACACGTACACCATCTTTGCAGTATGTAGGCTGAGTGT